CCCACACTCTTGTTCAAGATATCGATTTATTTTCTGTCATGAATGTAAAGTTCTGTTTCTCTGATCATACGAATAAAATAACCTTTATCGATTTATAATATTCGAAATCACAGAATTCATAGAAGCTTTTTGTAGCAGTGGAATGGCACGAGATAATCTATTGTCGATGATAAAATCAGTCTCTTGGGCTGGCAGCTTTGCTTAAATATTACTCTTTTCTTAAAGACAACCCGCGCTGAGATTCTGATATGCTCTTGAATTAATCTAACTATTAGAATTGTTCTTGTTTTTGACTTCAACCTCAATAGCTAGCAAAGCAATTCCAGATACATCTGTTACTTTTTTTTTGAACAAATTATAAATACTTGTTGCAAAATATTTCTTTTCGATATTCACAACTGATTGTCGAAATTCATGTTGAATCGAATTGAACTAAAAATAACTTTCGGGAAACAAGTCAAGCTCATCTTCTCGTGGTGTTTCCTGGTTAACATTAACGAATCTCTATATCAGAACATAACACAGTTGAAAATCGACAACCACTTATTGGACGATGTATGTTCGATTCCCATACTGCTCCTATGATTCGTTCGACCTAGCCTTTCGTACTAAGTAGAGCATGTCAAGTAGGTATATTCGTTTTAATCATATCGAATAGAAGTTCATTGACAAGTAAAATGATTATAGATAGCTCCACATGAAATCGTCATAAGCTTTGTCTTTCCATCAAACATATAATACAAATTCACCTTCCCCTTAAAATTTTAACAGCAGCGAAATAGCAGTATTAGTGAAAATCATCGAAATATACGAATCTCAAAAGAGAATATACGAAAAAATTGTTAGAGAATTTCAGTTGTTTAATATTGTATTCTACAAGTTTTCGATGAAGACAATCGAGCTCACTCTGGCAATGTTCTGTTCACGGATCCATCGAGTCCAAAAATACGTCAACAAATGTCAACAATCTGCGTGGAATGCTGGATAGCCTCTTTTTCTTGAGAGATTATTGAATGCTACTGCTATATTGCAAAAAGTAAAAATAAGTTGTACATGATTGGATGGAACTAGGATGTAGGTGTAGGTGTGCGCCATGATAGATGTGACTTTTCTTTCGTCTCACATCGACACTCTACAACATCACCATCTTTAGATAGTTATTATTTTCTCAATCGTGCCTATCGTGTAATTGAACAATGGGACATGAATCCATGGCAAGTGTTACGAGAATGGTCAACAAAAACTTTGAAATACAGTAAGATGAGATGCGCCTGATTACATGTAGCCATGATGGGTCTTATTTAGCAATGAACGTTTGGTTGGATCGTCTTGAGTGGATCATTGACTTTAGGAAGATTGATGTCTATATCACGCCAATAAAACGGATTCGTATGTCATGCGATTCATTACCAGTTTACTATAAGACACAAATCCCATTTGATGAAGATCGATGGTTGATTATGAACGAAATGAATCAATTTCAGATGGTATCTACAAATCCACAAGATGAAAAGGTTCCATTGATTCGAATAGGCTGCATTCTACCGAATAGGAATTTCTGCGTTCATCTATGTTTTTTTTCGTAATAATCAATACTTGATCGTTGGATCAGTAACAGGTGACGATAATGATAGACGAGGTATATTGAATTTTCACAGAGTAATAACTCAATAAGCAAGACTTCTACTATAATAAGAAGAAAAAATGCTATTGAAATTTTGAAATCTTCTTAGAATTGTGAATACTATGTTCACTTTTTTTTTGATTAAAATAAAAACTAAACGCGGAAAACAAAACTACATTTTCAACTTATTGATTGTAATTTTTCCACCTAGTAAAACTCAAACATGATGTATTTCTGTATTCTCTGCAAGTGATATATAGAGAATCAACGACGCTTGTTTGACGTCGCCATCGAACCATGTTTAGAATCTATTCGAATTCGTTGTTCTTAGAAATTGATATAAGACATTAAGAGAAAGTTTTTGAGCCGATACCATTTTTATTTTAGCCTCTGAAATGTCGTAGCTCTAGACAAAATTAATTTTTCTTAAAAATACCATAATAAATGTGTAGATGTGAGTGTAAGTGTCCCATTACATTAAGATTTACCGAGAGCCAAACTGATTACGAAGAACACGATATTCATATCTCGTACGATATATTCAAAAAGCTGTTGAATAGGACAGAATCTCGAAGAATTTTCTGACTTATTTTTCGCTACATTAACACTATTTCAAAGTGTCGAAATCTACTTTAAAGGATTCTGTCAAAATCCGAGTGTAACTACCAAGATTCAGTAGTATCCAAAATAAATGTATTTGATCAGGATAGGTATTTCATTTTTCCTTCTCTTACACTTAGTTATAAAATTTTGTTTCCTTGACAACAAAACGATATAGTTAAATAACTAAGCTTTTTCCAAAAAAAAAAGAAGATTTCAGCAACGGATGCTTGGCGAAGGGTTATCGAATAAAATCGGAAAAGTCCGATGGACTGCGGGAAGTAGTTAAAAATGCGATTTTTACTGAACGTTCTTAATGGATGCCCCTATAAGACTACGAAATCTGTATTAGCTTTGCACATCGATGAACTGCTCATCCGATATAGATACTGTTAGCATCCTATTTATTTACTCTGTTGCTTACATTATATTAACTTCGTGATCTCTTATGTTTTTGCGATACATATGCTACAAATAACAGACAAAAATAGTATGAAAAACTACAATAAGAATTATTCGATTCTGTTTCAATGGCATAAATTGATATCAAAATGGTTTGATAAAATATATTATATATCATGATGCATTTTCACATCATAAAAATACGCTGAGGTGTGTTTCTTCACAGAGACAATCTTCAATACCAGTAAAAATTGGTTAACTTGCAAAAAATATTTTTATAATCAACTTTTAAAAAAAAAATCACGCAGAAACTCAAAAGAAACTTAAATTGGTCTGTAAAGAAAAAAATGATATCTTCCAGTCGGCACACCAGTCGATAAGGAATCCTCTACAAGGTCTGACTAGGCTGGATGAGCTATTTGTCATTATCAATTGCAACCATGATCTAGTGCGCCTATCACCAGCTTAAATTCTCGGCCAGCAAATATTGTCGATGACTAAATAAACAACACCAACAGAGGTTTGACAAATGAAATTTTTCGATTTCAGACGATGTGTATTCTGTTGAAACCATTCAGTCGAGAATTTCTTCGAATCTCTTACATTGCCAAGCCGAAATACGATGCTCTCGAGATGTTCAAGTCGATCGATCAATGCAATCATAATCTCTTTTGACTCGACGGTAATATCTAGATGTTCAATGCACGAACATATAGAACAGAATTGGTCAACATCAATTGATTGACCATTATTCTCCAATTTGCAAGAACGAATTTGTCGAGGTAAAACACACAGTGGATTCACAATTTTTAAAGTTAAATGATATAATTGAGGTGTATGATTGAATAATGAATGCAGTTCGTCCACCAAAATCGTACGAATATTGGAAACATCTAGTTTTTTCATTCGATGAAGATCAACATAGGACATAAGAATATTAACCGATGGCAACGTAGAACCTAAAAGGCGTAACGAGTCCGCCTGACTAAAATAATGAAGCGGTGGCGTTATCGATTCGGAAAATTTCACTACGAGATCAATGTTGCTAGTATAGAAAGATTGTTGCTCGACTTTGGGTGGTGCCGTCGATAAGGGTGGATAGCTGTTGTTATGATAGAAAAAAACGTGATGTGGTCGAAATTCAGGTATTGAATAAACATTAAAAGCCGAATCAAGTGATTCTTTGTGACATGCAACAAACCAAC